TGAAAAATCAAAAACTTTAAAACTACAAAATAAAAATTGGATAACTGTAACTCGAAAATCTATTAAACCGTAAAAATGAAAAAATGCAAAATTATTAAAATTGATAAACCGAAAATGGAAAAATGAAAAATCGAATAATTCCAAAACCGGGAAATTGAAAAATCGAGAAATTGGAAAATCTCATATTGAAAAATCAAAAACTGGAAAATTGATTAATTAAAAACTGGCAAATTCAGAATTCCAAAAATTCTAAAAATATAAAACTCAAAAATCAAAAAATTGGAAAATTACGACCCTGAAGAATAGCATAATTTTAAAATTGAAAAGCTGGAAAGTCCACAATTGTAAAATAGAAAAATAAAAAAAATTGTAAAATGGAAAATTTTGTCAAATTATGAATTTGAAAAATCAAAAACTTGGGAAATTTGGAAATCGAAATTTTGAAATGTTAAAGATCAAAAAAATTAGAAAATCGGAACAATCAACTTCGGACAATTGAAAAATTAAAACTTGAAAAATTGGATACTTTTAAAACCGAAAAATTCCAATATAATTAAAGTGAAAAATCAAAAACTCTAAAATTACAACATAAAAATTGGATAACTGTAACTCGAAAATCTATTAAACCGTGAAAATGAAAAAATGCAAAATTATTAAAATTGATAAACCGAAAATCGAAAAATGAAAAATCGAATAATTCCAAAACCGAGAAATTGAAAAATGGAGAAAATAGAAAATCTCATATTGAAAAATCAAAAACTGGAAAATTCAGAATTCCAAAAATTCTAAAAATATAAAACTCAAAAATCAAAAAATTGGAAAAATACGAAACTGAAGAATAGCGTAATTTTAAAATTGAAAAGCTGAAAAGTCCACAATTGTAAAATAGAAAAATAATTAAAAATTGAAAAATGGAAAATTTAGTCAAATTATGAATTTGAAAAATCAAAAACTTGGGAAATTTGGAAATCGAAATTTTGAAATATTAAAGATCAAAAAAATCAGAAAATCGGAACAATTAACTTCAGACAATTGAAAAATTAAAACTTGAAGAATTGGATACTTTTAAAACCGAAAAATTCCAAAATAATTAAAGTGAAAAATCAAAAACTTTAAAATTACAAAATAAAAATTGGATAACTGTAACTCGAAAGTGTATTAAACCGTAAAAATGAAAAAATGCAAAATTATTAAAATTGATAAACCGAAAATGGAAAAATGAAAAATCGAATAATTCCAAAACCGGGAAATTGAAAAATCGAGAAATTGGAAAATCTTATATTGAAAAATCAAAAACTGGAAAATTGATTAATTAAAAACTGGAGAATTCAGAATTCCAAAAATTCTAAAAATATAAAACTCAAAAATCAAAAAATTGGAAAATTACGAAACTGAAGAATAGCATAATTTTAAAATTGAAAAGCTGAAAAGTCCACAATTGTAAAATAGAAAAATAACAAAATTGAAAAATCGAAAACTTGGAAAATGGGAAATCAAAATTTTGAAATATGAAAGGTAAAAAATATAGAAAATCGAAGCAATCACTTCGGATAATTGAAATATCAAAAATTGAAAATCGGATAGCTTTAAAAACGAAAAATTCCAAAATAATTATACTGAAAAATCAAAAACTTGGAAAATTGGAAATATTAAAATTCAAAAAAATTAGAAAATCAACTTCCGACAATTGAAAAATTGAAACTTGAAAAATTGGATACTTTTAAAACCGAAAAATTCCAAAATAATTAAAGTGAAAAATCAAAAACTTTAAAATTACAAAATAAAAATTGGATAACTGTAACTCGAAAATCTATTAAACCGTAAAAATGAAAAAAATGCAAAATTATTAAAATTGATAAACCGAAAATGGAAAAATGAAAAATCGAATAATTCCAAAACCGGAAAATTGAAAAATCGAGAAATTGGAAAATCTCATATTGAAAAATCAAAAACTGGAAAATTGATTAAAAACTGGAGAATTCAAAATTCCAAAAATTCTAAAAATATAAAACTCAAAAATCAAAAAATTGGAAAATTACGAAACTGAAGAATAGCATAATTTTAAAATTGAAAAGCTGAAAAGTCCACAATTGTGAAATAGAAAAATAACAAAATTGAAAAATGGAAAATTTAGTCAAATTATGAATTTGAAAAATCAAAAACTTGGGAAATTTGGAAATCGAAATTTTGAAATATTAAAGATCAAAAAAATTAGAAAATCGGAACAATGAACTTCGGACAATTGAAAAATTAAAACTTGAAAAATTGGATACTTTTAAAACCGAAAAATTCCAAAATAATTAAAGTGAAAAATCAAAAACTCTAAAATTACAACATAAAAATTGGATAACTGTAACTCGAAAGTCTATTAAACCGTAAAAATGAAAAAATGCAAAATTATTAAAATTGATAAACCGAAAATGGAAAAATGAAAAATCGAATAATTCCAAAACCGGAAAATTGAAAAATCGAGAAATTGGAAAATCTGATATTGAAAAATCAAAAACTGGAAAATTGATTAATTTAAAAACGGAGAATCCAGAATTCCAAAAATTCTAAAAATATAAAACTCAAAAATAAAAAAATTGGAAAATTACGAAACTGAAGAATAGCGTAATTTTAAAATTGAAAAGCTGAAAAGTCCACAATTGTAAAATAGAAAAATAACAAAATTGAAAAATGGAAAATTTAGTTAAATTATGAATTTGAAAAATCAAAAACTTTGGAAATTTGGAAATCGAAATTTTGAAATATTAAAGATCAAAAAAATTAGAAAATCGGAACAATCAACTTCGGACAATTGAAAAATTAAAATTTGAAAAATGGATAGTTTTAAAACCGAAAAATTCCAATATAATTAAAGTGAAAAATCAAAAACTTTAAAATTATAAAATTAAAATTGGATAACTGTAACTCGAAAGTCTATTAAACCGTAAAAATGAAAAAATGCAAAATTATTAAAATTGATAAACCGAAAATGGAAAAATGAAAAATCGAATAATTCCAAAACCGGGAAATTGAAAAATCGAGAAATTGGAAAATCTTATATTGAAAAATCAAAAACTGGAAAATTGATTAATTAAAAACTGGAGAATTCAGAATTCCAAAAATTCTAAAAATATAAAACTCAAAAATCAAAAAATTGGAAAATTACGAAACTGAAGAATAGCGTAATTTTAAAATTGAAAAGCTGAAAAGTCCACAATTGTAAAATAGAATAATAAAAAAAATTGAAAAATGGAAAATTTAGTCAAATTATGAATTTGAAAAATCAAAAACTTGGGAAATTTGGAAATCGAAATTTTGAAATATTAAAGATCAAAATAATTAGAAAATCGGAACAATCAACTTCGGACAATTGAAAAATTAAAATTTGAAAAATGGATAGTTTTAAAACTGAAAAATTCCAATATAATTAAAGTGAAAAATCAAAAACTTTAAAATTACAAAATTAAAATTGGATAACTGTAACTCGAAAGTCTATTAAACCGTAAAAATGAAAAAATGCAAAATTATTAAAATTGATAAACCGAAAATGGAAAAATGAAAAATCGAATAATTCCAAAACCGGGAAATTGAAAAATCGAGAAATTGGAAAATCTTATATTGAAAAATCAAAAACTGGAAAATTGATTAATTTAAAAACGGAGAATCCAGAATTCCAAAAATTCTAAAAATATAAAACTCAAAAATAAAAAAATTGGAAAATTACGAAACTGAAGAATAGCGTAATTTTAAAATTGAAAAGCTGAAAAGTCCACAATTGTAAAATAGAAAAATAACAAAATTGAAAAATCGAAAACTTGGAAAATTGGAAATCAAATTTTTGAAATATGAAAGATAAAAAAAATAGAAAATCGAAGCAATCACTTCGGATAATTGAAATATCAAAAATTGAAAATCGGATAGCTTTAAAAACGAAAAATTCCAAAATAATTATACTGAAAAATCAAAAACTTGGAAAATTGGAAATATTACAATTCAAAAAAATTAGAAAATCAACTTCCGACAATTGAAAAATTGAAACTTGAAAAATTGGATACTTTTAAAACCGAAAAATTCCAAAATAATTAAAGTGAAAAATCAAAAACTCTAAAATTACAAAATAAAAATTGGGTAACTGTAACTCGAAAGTCTATTAAACCTTAAAAATGAAAAAATGCAAAATTATTAAAATTGATAAACCGAAAATGGAAAAATGAAAAATCGAATAATTCCAAAGCCGGAAAATTGAAAAATCGAGAAATTGGAAAATCTGATATTGAAAAATCAAAAACTGGAAAATTGATTAATTTAAAAACGGAGAATCCAGAATTCCAAAAATTCTAAAAATATAAAACTCAAAAATCAAAAAATTGGAAAATTACGAAACTGAAGAATAGCATAATTTTAAAATTGAAAAGCGGAGAAGTCCACAATTGTAAAATAGAAAAATAACAAAATTGAAAAATCGAAAACTTGGAAAATTGGAAATCAAAATTTTGAAATATGAAAGGTAAAAAATATAGAAAATCGAAGCAATCACTTCGGATAATTGAAATATCAAAAATTGAAAATCGGTTACCTTTAAAAACGAACAATTCTAAAGTAATTAAACTGAAAAATCAAAAACTTTAAAATTACAAAATAAAAATTGGGTAAGAAAATCTATTAAACCGTAAAAATGAAAAAATGCTAAAATTATTAAATCTGGAAAATCCAACGATGGAAAAATGAAAAATCGGATGATTTTAAAACCAGAAAACTGAAAAATCGAGAAATTTGAAAATTGGAAATCGAAATTTCGAAACATTAAAGATAAAAAAAATAGAAAATCGAAACAGTAAAATCCGCATAATGCCTTTAAAAATGAAAAATTGCAAAATAATTAAAATGGAAGACCAAAAATTTTAAAAATTAAAACTGAAATTTTGAAAAATTACCCAAAAACTTGAAAATTTGTAAAATTACAAAAGTGAAAAGTTGGATAATTATTGTAAAATCGAACCAATTTTTTTCAGATGCATAGAAACGAGCGCTTCTCCTCCGACTACCACCAGAAGATCGAAACCCTGATGCAGATCCTCATCCCCTACATCCTCAACAAATACAAAGAGATGCCCGTCGAAACAAAAGAACTGAACAAGAGCCTAGCGCACTTCCTCAAGAGGTGTCTGTCTTTGATGGACCGAGGCTTCGTCTTCAAACTGATCAACTTCTACTTGGACAAGTTCAACCCAGGCGATCCCCGGGTTCTGCAAGAGTACAAATTCTCCTTCTTGGAGATCGTCTGCAACCACGAACACTACGTAGCCTTTAATTTACCCATCCAACAAAATAAACTCAGTCCGAAGAATCGTTCGCCGGACAAGTCGCAAGAGTTCAGTCTTTCGGAAGAATTCTGCAAACACCACTTCGTGGTGGCTTTGCTCCTTCAGGAGATAAAGACTTCGCTGAACGAGGTGACGCACATCCGGAGGATCGCGTTGAACACCCTGAGGGATCTTCTGGCTAAACACGAGTTGGACGACAGGTACCAGAACAAAGGGCAGTTGAACAGGATAGCGATGATTTATGTACCGTGGTTGAGTGTGGTGTTGGAGAACTTGAATCGGTTGGATGTTCTGGAACGAGGGGATGAAGGCCAGGATAGTAGTATAGTGAACAGGATATCCACGAGTAGTTCGTACATGTTCGGGAAGAGTTCGGCTGCGAGCGACGCGACGCCGAGGAGTCACAGGTTCACTCTCCACATAGATAAGGACAGTCCGATGCATATTAGGAATTCGGCGTTTTTCGAAGCAATCGCCGGTCAATGTAAGCTGAAAATTATTTTCATATTTTGTAACTCTTATTGCTTTTTACTTATAATTAACAAAACCAAAGAAATTAAAATCAATAACAAATCCTTCAAAACGGGTTTCACACTTAACTGGATTAAGTTTCAGGTCTACTTTTCTAATTATGTTATTTAAATTTTATAAAATAACGACTCACCTATTTGTGGGTTATGAATCTGTGTTTAGAAAAAATCTAAATTGTAGATATCTAGTGCATTTTTTTTTAAAAGTGGACATAGGAATTCTGATGTTCAATTTTAGACTGTTAACTTTTGTCTAAAAATTTAACATGGAACATTTCAGTGTTGGGATTTTTAAATTTTTCGATTCTTCAATTTCATGATTTTTTCGTTTTTTGATTTTTCGGTGGTTAAATTTGTCGTCTCGTAATTTTCGATTTCTTAAATTTTGCGATTTTTCAATTTTTCAGTTCTTATAACGTTGCTAAATTTTGGATTTTTCGATTTCCCAATTTCTCGTTCAATCATTTATCAATTTTTCGATATTTCAGTGTAGGGATCTTTTAATTTTCCGATTCTTCAATTTTCGATTTTTTCACTTTTTGCTTCTTAATTTTTCGATGTTTCAGTTTTACGATTTTTCAAAACTCGACGTTTCTAAATTTTCTATTTTTCGAGTTCCCAATTTCCCGTTTAATCGATTTTTTGTTTTTCGAATTTTCGATTTTTTGACATTAATTTCCATTTCTCGATTTTTCAGTTATTTGATTTCTCCTTTTTTTTTCGATTTTCCTATATTTCGAATCTTCGATTTTTCGATTTCTCGATCTTCCAATTTAAAAAAATTTTGAGTTTTGTATTTGTTTAAATTTCCGGTTTTTAAATTTTCGATTTCTCGATCTATCAAGGTTTCGATGTTTCGATTTTTTTATTGTTCAATTTCTCGATTTTTTGATTTATCAATTTTCTTAATTTAAAATTTTTCAATTCTCCGGCTTTTCGATTTTACGAGTTCTCGATCTTTTGATGATTCGTTTTTCGATGTTCAAGTTTTTAAATTTTTGGAAGTTTCGATTTTTCGATTTTCCAGTTTTTTGATATTCCGATTTCCTAACAATCTGGTTTGGAATTTTTCATTTTTTTGATGGTTTAAATTTTGGATTTTTCTGTTTAGTGATTTTTCAATTTTTCGATGTGTCTTATCAGTTTTACGAGTTTTCAAATTTTCCATTCTTGACGTTTCCAAATTTTCGATTTCTCCATTTCTCGTGTGATCGATGTTTTCGTTTTTCGACGTTTCGATTTCTCGATTTTTTAGTTTTTCAGTGTTAGAATTCTAAGATTTTTCAATTTTGCGGTTCTTAAATTTTTCGATTTTACAGATTTTTGATTTTTCGTTTTTTTTTGTTGACTTCGATTTCTCAATTTCTCAGTTTTGCACTTTTTCAATTTTTAAATTTTAGATTTTTCAATTTTCCGATGTTTCAATTTTACATTTCAATTTTTTGATTTTTCAATTTTTCAATTTTACTAATGTCCAGTTTTTAAGTTTTTCCACTTTTAAAATTTTTCGATTTCTCGATTTATCGAAGTGTCGATATTGCAATTTATTTCAAAATTTTCAATTTTTAACTTTTCTATTCTCTGAATTTTTCGATTTTTCGATCTTTTGATGTTCGTTTCTCGATGTGTAAGTTTTTCAATTTTTCGATGTTTCGATTTTTTAATTTTTCGGTTTTCCAACAATCTTTCATAGTTTCTTCAGATTTAGAATTTTTCAATTTCTCGATTTTTCAGTTTTTCGATTCTCCAGTTTTCCCATTTGTCAATTTTTCGATGTTTTAAATTTTTTACGATTTTGCGATTTTTTGATGGAATTTGTTAACATCTCGGGTTTTTCATTTTAAAAATTTTTCGACTTTTCGATTTATCAATTTTTTTATTAGCAAATTTTTCAATTTTTAACTTCTCTATCGTCTGAATTTTTCGACTTCTCGATTTTTTGATGTTTTATTTCTCGATGTTTAAGTTAAATTTTTCAATTTTCTGGTTTTTAAGTTTTTCGATTTTTAAATTTTTCGATTTATCGATTTTTCGGTTTTTCGATTTTTTTTATTGTTAAATTTCTCGATTTTTCGGTTCATCGTTTTTTTTTTAATTTCAATTTTGAGTTTTCTATTCTCTGAATTTTCCGATTTTTCAACTTTTCGGCTTTTCGATTTTCCAGTTTTTCGATGTTCCTATTTTTCAATTTCTCGATTGTTCAGTGTTCCCATTGTCCAATTTTTCAAATGTTTAAATTTTTGATTTTTCAATTTAGTGAATTTTCAATTTTTCGATTTTACGTTTGGATTCATTTTTTTGATCGGATTTGACATTTTGGTTTTTCGATTTTTAGATTTTCGATTTTTCAATACTTGAATTCGGGAATTTTCCAATTTCTGGATTTTTCAATTTTTCGATTTCCCAACAATCTGTCAACGTTTCAGGTTTGGAGTTTTTCAGTTTCTCGATTTTTCAGTTTTTCCATTCTTCAGTTTTCCCATTTTTCAATTTTTCAAATGTTTAAATATTTGATTTTTCAGTTTAGTGATTTTTTAATTTTTCGATTTTAAAATTTTTCAATTTATCGAGGTTTCGATGTTTCGATTTATTTATTGTTCAATTTCCCGATTTTTCGATTTATCGATTTTTTTGTATTTCAAATTTTTCAATTTTTAACTTTCTATTCTCTGAATTTCTCGATTTTTCAACTTCTCGATGTTTAAATTTTTCAATTATTCGATGTTTCGATTTTTCGATTTCTCTGCTTTTCATTTTTCAGCTTTTTGGTTTTCCGGTTTTTCGAGGTTTCGATTTTCTAATTTTTCGATTTCCCAACGTTTCATAGCCTCAGATTTAGGTTTTTTCAATTTTTTCGAATTTTCAGCTTTTCGATTCTTCAGTTTTCATATTTTTCAATTTTTTGTATGTTTAAATTTTTTATTTTTCAATTCAGTGAATTTTCAGTTTTTCGATTTTGTGATTTTTTGATTGGATCTCTTGACATCTTGGTTTTTCAATTTAAAAATTTTACGACCTATCGATTTTTAGATTTCTCAATTTTTCAATATTTCAAGTTGGGAATTTTCCAGTTTCTGGATTTTTCAATTTTTTGATTTTTCAGTTTTCCGGTTTTTAAGGTTTTTCGATTTTAAAATTTTTCAATTTAGATTTTTTCGATTCTTCAGTTTTCCCATTTTTCAATTTTTTTGTATGTTTAAATTTTTGATTTTTCAATTTAGTGAATTTTCAGTTTTTCGATTTTATGATTTTTTGATTGGATTTCTTGACATCTTGGTTTTTCGATTTAAAAATTTTTTCAATTTGGGTATTTCTCAATTTCTGGATTTCTAAATTTTTCGAAATTTAATTTTTCGATTTCTCGATTTATCGAGGTTTCGGTGTTTCGATTTTTTAATGTTCAATTTCTCGATTTTTTGGTTTATCGTTTTATTTTTAATATCAAATTCTTCAATTTTTCATTTTTCAGGTTTTCGATTTTTCCAGTTCAATTTTTCGACTTTTCGATTTCTCTATTTTTCAGTCTTTTCATATTTTAGTTTTGGGATTTTTCGATGTTTTAATTTTTCGATTTCCGGATTTTTTACTTTTTCAATTTTTCGGCTTCTTGGTTTTAGATTTTTCGGTTATTGATTTTGCGATTTTGAAAATTTTGATTTTTCGATTTTTCAGTTTTTCGGTTTTAAGTTTTTCGATATTTAAATTTTTTGATTTCTCGATGTAGCGAGGTTTCGATGTTTCGATTATTTTGTTGTTCAATTTTTCGATTTTTAGATCTCTCCATTTTTCGAAATTTTAATTTTTCAATTTTTCTAATTTCCGGTTTTTAAGTTTTTCCACTTTTAAAATTTTTCGATTTCTCGATTTATCGAGGCTTCGATATTGCAATTTATTTTAAATTTTCCAATTTTTAACTGTTCTATTCTCTGAATTTTTCAATTTTTCGATGTTTCGATTTTTCAATTTTTCGGTTTCCCAACAATCTTTCATAGTTTCTTCAGATTTAGAATTTTTCAATTTCTCGATTTTTCAGTTTTTCAATTCTCCAGTTTTCCCATTTTTCAATTTTTCGATGTTTTAAATTTTTGATTTTTCAGTTTTACGATTTTGCGATTTTTTGATAGAATTTCTTAACATCTCGGGTTTTCGATTTTTAAAATTTTTTTATTAGCAAATTTTTTAAGTTTTAACTTCTCTATCGTCTGAATTTTTCGACTTCTCGATTTTTTGATGTTTTATTTCCCGATGTTTAAGTTAAATTTTTCAATTTTCTGGTTTTTAAGTTTTTCGATTTTAAAATTTTTCGATTTATCGATTTTTCAGTTTTTCGGTTTTTTTATTGTTCAATTTCTCGATTTTTCGGTTCATCGTTTTTTTTTTTAATTTCAATTTTTAGTTTTTCTATTCTCTGAATTTTCCGATTTTTCAACTTTTCGACCTTTCGATTTTCCAGTTTTTCGATGTTTTTTCAATTTCTCGATTGTTCAGTTTTTCCATTCTTTAGTTTTCCCATTTTTCAATTTTTTAAATGTTTAAATATTTGATTTTTCACTTTAGTGAATTTTCAATTTTTCGATTTTACGATTGGATTCATTTTTTTGATTGGATTTCTTGACATTTTGGTTTTTCGATTTTTAGATTTTCGATTTTTAAATACTTGAATTCGGGAATTTTCCAACTTCTGGATTTTTCAATTTTTCGATTTCCCAACAATCTGTCAACGTTTCAGGTTTGGAATTTTTCAGTTTCTCGATTTTTCAGTTTTTCCATTCTTCAGTTTTCCCATTTTTCAATTTTTCAAATGTTTAAATATTTGATTTTTCAGTTTAGTGATTTTTCAGTTTAGTGATTTTTCAATTTTTCGATTTAAAAATTTTTCAATTTATGGAGGTTTCGATGTTTCGATTTCTTTATTGTTCAATTTCCCGATTTTTCGATTTATCGATTTTTTTGT